ATGGAAGGAGAAAATGTTGAGTCCTGCTGGGAAGGAGGTCTTATTGAAAGCTGTCATTATGGCCCTGCCTACTTATGTCATGTCCTCTTGTCTCCTTCCTAAAGTGCTGTGTAAAGAGATTTGTTCTGAAATGGCAAAGTACTGGTGGGGGCAAAAGGAAAAGGAAAATAAGGTGCACTGGTTGAGCTGGAGTAAGATGTCTGAAGTTAAGGCAGTAGGGGGGTTGGGGTTCAGGGAGCTTCATGATTTCAATTTGGCTTTACTTGCAAAGCAGCTATGGAGAATTTTGACAAATCCCAATCTACTGATGAGTAAAATTCTAAAGGTCAAGTACTTTAAGGGGAAATCAATTTGGAGGACAAGGTGTCAGGATGCAGATTCATGGTGTTGGAAGAGTTTGTTGCAGGCAAAGGATTTATTAGAGGAAGGATTGAGGAAGCAGGTAGGGGATGGTAAATCTATTAAGATATGGGGGGATAGGTGGATCCCAGGTTCTGAGAGTGGAAAAGTTCAAACAAGGAGGGGGGAGGGGTGTGAGCTACAGAATGTAAGTGATCTTATTAAAGGGGGCGTATGGGACAAGGAGGTGATTGCACAGGTGTTTGATAGGGAAGAAGGGAGGAAGATCCTAAACATCCCACTTAGTGAGGAACCTAGGAAGGATAGGCTTTTCTGGGCTTTTTCGAATACTGGGATGTATACGGTCAAGTCAGGCTACAGGATTGTAAAGAGAAAGAAAAGGATGTATGATGTTGAAGGGTCAGAGGAAGGCACTAGCCTAAGGAGGATAGGAGCAACTCAGAACTGGAACTTCCTTTGGGGGTTGAAGGTGAAGCATAAACTGAAGCATTTTATTTGGAAATGCTTACATGGGATCTTGCCTGTAAATGCAGTACTAAAGGAAAGATGCTCAAAGGGGGATCATGTGTGCAAAGGATGTGGGGAAGGTCCAGAAACTATTGAACATATGCTCTTTTTCTGCTGCAATGCCAAACTGATATGGAAAGTTGCACCTTTGAGTTGGGAGGGCTTGCAAGTTTTTAGGAATAAGTTTTGGCATTGGTGGGATGCTTTGAAGGAGGTGGCAACAAAGGAGAAGGGAGATGAGCGCATCAGTTTAACAGTAAATTTGCTTTGGCAAATTTGGAAATCTAGGAATGAAAAACAGTTCCATGAATATGGGAGGGATCCTCTGGTTGCAGTTCACAAGGCTGTAATGGAGTGGCAGGAATATCAGGAGGCACAGGAAGCGGAAGTGGAATTTGGGGATAGTGGAATGAAGGAGGAAAGGGAAGGTCAGGGTTGGCAAAGGCCACAGGAAGGATGGATAAAGTTGAACTCAGATGCAGCTCTGGATAGCAAGGGAAGTAGAGCAGGGTGGGGAATGGTTGCGAGGGATTGGCAGGGGTTGGTGCTAGGGGCGTGGGCTGTGCCATCTTCAAGTTGTTCGAATCCTAAGCAAGAAGAATCAATGGCACTCAGAATGGCTCTGAGGATGGCAGAGTTACAAGGTTGGAAAAAGGTGGTGTTTGAGGTAGACTGCTTACAGATAGTGGACGAGCTGCATAAAGAGGGAAAGGACAGGATTGGATCAGTGGTGATAGAGGATATAAGGAGATTGAGGAAAAATTTTGATGAATGTTGCTTTACTTTCACTCGGAGAGTAAACAACTGTGTTAGTCATACGCTAGCCAAATTGACAATTAGCTTGGAAGTTTCTGCTGAATGGAAGGTAAACTTCCCAGCATGGCTGCATGAACTTGTGCAGTATGATTGTAGGGGCAGTTGCCCAGGTTGCTTGTAATATGTTTGCTCTATGAATAAAACATTGCCGTTTAGACCAAAAAAAAAAAAAAAAGTTCTATGGTTCAAGTGTTTAATTGATTTTCAGGATCCCCTATTTTTTGTGTCAATAATGATTAATACTCTTTGGGAATGATTCACTTTACAATTTTCTAATTATCCTGATCCAAATGCAAAATAACCTTATATAATTTTCTAATTTATCCTTATGCATTCTATGTATTATTGTTCTCATGCATTTTATATATTTCATAATAGTTAACTTTTAACAAAAATTATAATTTCCTAATGATTCGTATAAATTAAATAATAACAGAGATATATACTAATAAACTCATACAGCAAAAAATAATTAATAGGGGAAATATTAGTCCTCCTCCTGCGCAACGCGCAGGCCGTCTGACTAGTTACTTAAAAGCCTCTCTATTCTTAATAAATAGCTGTCGAAGTTCTTTGACTTTCGACCCATTTAAGCGATGCGCTACTCGTTCACAGAGGGAGTAGATTTACCAAATTGCCACTCTCTTCTTTCTTAAATGTTAAATGGAAAGGCAGAGGAACCGGGATTCGCATCGTAGTACCCGACAGCGCGTCATCTCAGCACAGAGAGGAACTTCTCCCGTAAAAATGTTGTAATTTTCCAGGCGGATTCTTAAACAACAACGTTCTAGTTCTAGGATACTGCTACTGCTAGGTACTAATATCGCACGAGGTAAATACTGAATACTGGAGTACTAATTAGCCGGTAGTTAAGTTTGGTGGAAGAAATAGGAAAATATTATTGTTATGGATTACGATTTTAGGAACAGAAAGAACCCCCCGCCTTACGATTCTCAAATTCCGATGCACCGCCCCGCCACCGGGCCCTCCTCCACCCATCCGACGTACGGTAATCCCTCCCTCTACCCTAAGGTAGGCCAACTTCCTGGTGTCCCTGGTCGGAACCCCTCTTTTCATCATCCCACCCCGTCTCCGCCATCTGCCGCTCGTAAGTTCGCCGCTCAACCCCATTCCGGACTCATTTCGTGATTTTTGTTTCCCGAATTTCTGATTTGTTGCCTTCTTTTGTCTTGTGAATTTGGTTAATCCGCAGCTGGAATTGGGATTAGGGTTGCTTTGAAGCCTGAGTATCGGATTTCACCACCGGTATGATGTTCATATGCTGATATTGTAGGGTTCCTTATTTTTTTTAAAAATTTCTTTGTGTTTATTGTGGGAATGACTTAGATCGTGATAGCTTCCTTTTGCTGCATAATTTTCGAAGTTAAGAAAAATGATATTGGTCTTGCTGGGTGATCCATGAAATTATTGTTTAGAGAAGATATAGACTTCGCTTCCTCTAATGGTGCCTTTGATAATAATAATAATAATGGGTTCGGAATTTATGATCTTCCTTATCCTTTTAATTTTTAGAACCCCATATTTATTTTGGGCTTTTCAGGACACTTATTGCATTTCGTCTTCAATTGCCCTGTGTATATGTAGTATTGTTGATCATTTTGTATTTTGTTAGCCTCATTTATCCCCTCAAATTGGAGATATTCCTCGAAGCAATTTCCTCTTTGATTTTGAATTTGAGAGGAAGGTTTTGGCTGAAGCAGAGAAAGAAAGCCAAAACTGGAGCAGGCTGGGGCTAGAAAATCTTCCATCTAAAACGCCAGAGGCAACATCTTCTCTGGTATGTTCTCTTTTGAGTTAATACTGTTTGATGAGCTGGTACTTGTACCTTTCATTCTTTATGGCAGTCATGGCATGGCCCCTTACTATTACACCCTCCCTCCTCCCTTACTCCCTCCCCGTCTTGAGTGTATATATTAGCATTTGCTAGCTGTTTATACATGCGCTTGAACCCTCAGTGGGTTATCTTCCCATGTTTCCATGCAAAGGCCTTTGCTTCTTTGTTGGGTGAATGAGGCTCTTTTGGAAAATTTCAATTGCAGGGCTCCACACCAGACTCGGTAGTGAGCAAATATATTGCATCAGGTCTAAGCAGGGAGGCTGTGCATGTAGCAGTTGCAAATTATGGAGACAATCCAAACAAGGTATCTTTTCCTCGACCATTTTAATTCTTTGGTTTCTTGCATATAGATGGATGTATGCTAATTTTACCTTCCAGCGCTTAAGTCTTCACTTTCTAGAGAAATGAGTCACAATTAGTGTTTTGGAGAGGGGACATTTTCTGGCGGATCCTGAGGTTTAATTTCCCTTATCTGCTGCTAGCATGATTTTTTTTTGATAAACTATGACCCCATCGACATTAGCTATGGCTGAATAAGATTCTGTAGTTTCTTCAATATAAAGAAACAGCTTTTGTGATCTGCAGAGCAGTTTACAGAACGTTATTCAACTTGTTTCAGGTCAGGGAATTTGCCAACGGCTATGCCCTCTTGCGAGAAATGGGATTCTCATCAAATAATGTTGCAGAAGCTCTGCTCATGTATGACAATGACACAGACAAGGCATTGGCACACTTTCTTAACAGTTCATCCTAGTTGTGGTTGTGCCATACTTTGTTGGGTTGTCAAACATTTAGGTTGTTGAGGAAAGTGAAAAGAGAGATGTTTGGAACATACTATAAAATTCACTGTAAAGTAACAAAAAAATGAATTACTTGCCTCTGTATAATTCGCATTATAATTTATAAGTTTCTGAATTGCACTCACGGAAGACAAATTTTGTAATAGGCCCCTTCATTGCCAAATTCCACTATTCTCCAGTCCCTGGATGTCTAAAGGTTCTCCATCCAGATGTTGCCTGGATATTGCATGCCATCACATGTCATCAAGAACAAATATAGCACAGCATTCTTAGCAGCAACTCCCCAGCTTAAGTACGAAACTTGCTCAAATTAGAGTATCTAAAGGAGGCCAAAGCCGTTGGATAAGTCAAATACGTAAGAAGATATCTCATAATCTTTTGAACAAAATGATCAGAGAAGATTCAAGATTAGAGGGAAAGGTTTTAAACTCCTTAATTTAATACAGAAGGGTACGTTCTCTCTTAAGAGTGGGAGAGTACCTTGAACAAACGATGGTTACCTAATAAAGGACAAAGCGTTGAATGCATACTCCAACAGGGTAGGATAGGATGGTATGCATCTGATTATCCGAGATGTGTGACAGCTTCATTGCACGAGCAAAGATGAAACTAAATGGGAGGAATATTGAAGATTCTCGTGTATTCACTACGTATCTCTATTTTTTGATAGCATATTTACTAAATTGATTTATGTTAAGCCAATAGTACAAATATTGAATCATAAGTCATAGTAACAAACACGAAAAGACAATAAAAATTAAGAATATATCCAATAAAACGGTGCACTATGCAAGGACGCCAGATGGCGCATAGGGAAGCTACATTGCATAGATCATCTACATCAGTCTACAATAACAACTGCCGGTTTAACAACACGATTTTGTTAACCAAGAGTCACCTGAGAAGCAGGATCACAAACCAAAGATGTGGTCACCACCAAATATAGCAGCACTAAACTGTCTCGTGTTCAAGTCATTCCCATCCAATGCAGAACCAAACCTATCCAGCCACTGAGTGGGGCTAGGGTTCTCAGGCTCCTCCACCCACTCAGAAGTCATATCTATGTCATCAAGTTGAATGGGATCTACTTCCAAAGGCCTTGATGCAAGAGATCTAGCTAGCTTGAGATTGTAATGTATATATACAAGGTCATTCAATGTTTCCTTGTCAATTTTATTGCGCTTCTCCGAATGAAGTTGCTTGAATGTACTCCAGTTCCGCTCAAAAGTAAAAATGCTACAGACCTGGCTAAGTATTCGTATGGCAACCCGTTGCAACACGGGAGCAGCATCACCATACTGTTCCCACCAAATCCCTGCAGTGCATTGGCCATACATTTCTAATCAGATATATATCAAGGCGATCACTTTTTAAGTGAAAAGAGGAAAGTAGCTAAGCTTCTTCCAATGGCTGAATTGGAAGAAACTTGTGACATGGTGGTACACACAAACACGTCATTATTCCCCAGGTTCAGTATTTAGACCTCAGCTTTTTCCTGCAGTTTCTTTAAGACTCAGAGATAGTTATGGTCTGCAGAAGAGGTCTAAAGTTTGAAAATACCTTTCAGTTAAAAAAACAAAGGTGCAGTAATTTGCTGAAAGGGAAAAGATGAGTTTAGTATACACCAATTGGAAGTGCACTGACAAGTGGCATAGAAACAGAAATTGGAACTAGTATAATGCCTTCTGTGTTTCAAATTTGGCTTCAGGGCTACCACTTTGGTTTTATAATTGATTCAAGATAAGACAGGTTCTACATCATATAACCGAAGCTCAATTTGAATATATGTAAATGCTGGAACTAATCATTTAAGAGGAGAAAGATATGATGAAGGCTCCTACAAAATGGGCTCCAACAACAACACCCCCCCCCCACTCCTCTGCCTGCCTTGTTCAAGTAGTTCAATAGTTAAGGGGTGTAGTGAAAAAAGTTTTTGGGGAAGAGATCCTTAAGAGCAAAGATATTCCATCCTGCAAGACAGTTCTATTATTTGGCAAAGTCAGTATAAAAACAACAAATATCAGTTCAGGAATGTACAAGAAGTATCTATTTGGCCAGTAAAGTGAAAACATTCAAGAAAAAATGGTGTTTTTCGCATCATTACTTTTGAGCAAGACAGGAGCTTTCAGTAGCTCCTGAAGAGCTCTCATGATCAATTGAAGTGACCAACATGCTTGGGATGCAAACGGCCCTATGAAATTAGCACATGTTTATGAACTTCTCCTGACCAGTAAAATCATTCCGTAAGAAGCCAACTATTTTCTAATTTTTTCAACTTTTTTCTTTGGCCAGTCTTAGAAACTCTCTCTCCAAATTCCTAAGCACAAGTTGCTCCTATTTTGATAGAGATTGCAAGTATAAAACCCTATACTTGTACTACATGCCAACAAGATAAGTTCTTCACAAAGTAGTTTTGGGAATCTCAAATGTCTGATATGATCTACCCTGTTGAACTCAAAGATTAGATCTCTAACTTTGTATTATCTGCAATGTTATGGATGTTAATAAATAAAGATTCATTTGCTTCACTGCTGAGAGGTTTTTGTCAATAAAAACAATGGAATGCCCTGAGAGATAAACAACCACTCAACTGCTGTGATATACGAGTGTCCAAAAAAGCAAGAGAAAAAAATTGCAAAGAAAATAAAAGCAACGATACCTGGTGTAACAGTATCAATTGCTTCCCTTGCGAGATTACAACCAAACATCCCAGATGCCCTGGTAAATAAAAGAATTTGATTGGTAATATCTCGTCTTAATTCTGGCGTGGGGAGTAATTTCTCCAAGACTCTGAAAAAATCTTCTTTTATAGAGCCAAGAAACTTGACCTCTGGATTATACTGGATGCTAGGATTCAAAAAAGCAGCAGCAGAATGTAAAGGTGAATGGAGGTTGTTCTGCCACTTCTTGTCAACTATATCTAGAAAAGTACTGCATTTAATCTCATCCATAATGTAGTAAGTTCTGATTGACTCTTTTGCTTTAGTCATCAATTCGTAAATGTACCCCACTGCAGGCTTCCCTCCAAAAACTTCCCTCATGACTTTCAAGAAGGGTTCAGAAACAGCAACACATTCCTCAACTGCCCTCCAGAAATCATTATCATCAAGAATGCCAACACAGGTTATGCTTTGAGACTTATTTGCATAAGCTGAATTTGCAGAAAATTCAGGGCTATTGAACATATGTTTCAGTTTTGACCTCTGTTTCAGGATAGATTGCAAGGAGAGAAAGTCAGAAACAGGCTTTGTGATGCCAGACTTAATGATCTCCTGTCCTCCGGTGTACTTTTTCATAAGATTCAGAACAGTCGAAGTGTTATATATAAACTTTGAGATAGCCTGTGCCTGCAAGATACATCTGTTAACCCAATCTACTTTGGAGAACTCCTCCAGGATTGAATTTAGACATTGCCAAGCACAAGGAGAAACAAATATACTACCATAGTTCTGAAGAATATGGTTTACCAAACCAGTGCAATTAAGAGTATCATCCACAATAATCTGCACAACATTGTCTTGGCCAAAATCTTGAATTACAGAGTCAAATAAATCGGTAAGGCACTTGATATTCTTGTAATATGACGATGCATCTACTGATTTGTGGAAAAAAGTTTTAGAAGGCGAAGAGACTAAAAAATTAATCAAAGCTCTAGATTTGTTATCTGTCCATGTTTCAGCGATTACTGTACAACCTGTCATGGCCCATTCTTTCTCAATATCTTTAGATTCTAAGCTTAATTCAGACTTGATCCTCTCTAACCAGATAGTCTTGAGAGAATCAGAGGATGGCCCTATGAACCCACTGCCACACTTTCCTATTGCATCAATCATTTGTTGATAAGATGAAGAACGAGCCACGCCAAAATCCAGTTTATTTTCAAAAAAGAATACGGCGATACTTCTCTCTGCATTTTCTTGGTCACTAGCTGGGGAGGAACCTATGGGCATCACAGATGGAAAAACTTTCACCACTGGAGGAGGTGCTTCCAAAGTGATTGAACCTTTACCCATGGAAGCGCTGATAGGAGGTTTCGCTTCTGCTAGCTTCTGTTTCTTGGGAAGGGGAATTTCCTTTCCCTCTTCCTTTACCGCTATAATAGCTCTGACCCTGTCAGTAACATCATCCCTCACTTTGCTGCATGGATTTACACCTTTACTGGGAAGTCTAGACAGATGATGCTTTAATCTACTAATGCCACCATTCAACACTCTAAGGCAGAACTTGCATCTCACTTTGTTTCCGTCTAACTTTTCGGCATACTCCCAGCATACATCTTTTTCTCGAACCACTGCCACAGAAGAAACTTTGATAATTTGGTCCATGTACGTTACTAAGCAGGTGCACACGCGCATTAATCACGGTACTACACACAAATCATCAGGAATTTTAGATATTAGGCCATTATGGAGCGTGACAACTCCATTAAAGCTTACAGAGTGGACAGGCAACAAAATTAGCAAGTAAAGCTGCAATCTTCGATCCCCTATTGGCGAAAAAAGAAAAAAAAATTCTGACACCATCAAGATTCGGCAATCAAATGCTTAACACGCAGGCATGAACTTTGAAGATCATATTCATGCAAAATGTGATAGAATTTTAAATTAGGAAAAGAGACAGCTTACTGATACAGAAGATGCTTTACTCTGACCTCTCCTTACCTAAAGAAGCAACAATGAATTGAATGATATATATGACAAGCGGGAAAAACAAATACAGACAAAGTTGGTAAACAAATTCATATAACAACCACCATATCCAGCTGAAGAAGGTATTATGAGAGACAACAATGCATTCAAAGCATCTCCGACCATGAGACAAAAATATTGCCACAAACAGCACAGAAATGCAGTATTAACTGAAGCAAAGCAGAGTAGCGTGTGCATACGAAGTCACATTGACACAAATCATAAGTTATCATCAAAAAAATTAGATGAGTTCAACTTTGTAGAGAAGCTCATTGGACATGGATAAGCTAATGCCAAGAGACGCCAGTCATGGATCATCATCTACTACTTTGACAGACTACATTAGTATTACGAAAAAGTGCCATGGTTATCAACATCGAGCTAGATTTTGCACACGTCATCATATAGTATTACGAATTTCAGTTGTAACACGAATTTTACTTTTCATCAGCAGTCTCAGCTTTGGTCCATGAACAGACATCATTAGTATTTTAAGACAGCAATGTATCGGATTAGAACAATGATATTCGTCTTGTTCATCTGCGGCAATTTCGTCCAATCAAATTGAGCACATAATATTTCAGCTAACAAGTTATTTTATTACATATTAAGATTCCTTATCATCAAGATGCAACGCAAAAAATAGCAGCTTTCTATTTCACATCTTTCTCCTCCGCATTAACAGGACGTAAAAATGCCAAAAATTTCCAGTAATATGCTCATCTCATGTTCGCTTTTTCGCTTCGAATAATAAAAGCACGAGATTTCTCTGGAATATGGGAAGCTTTCTGCGTTTTCTCTCTAAACCAAGCAGAGCTTTATTCAGACAAAGATCCAGAAGAAAAAGAAAACATAAAGAAAGAGAAAATAGCGAGATAGACGCAGATATGGAAATGGAACTTACGTGGAGAGAGAGGATTTCATCGAGTCCTAATCTCTTATCGGTGGAGAGAAAAGCGGATTTTGCAGAGTTTAGAGATCTTTTTTGGTATATCGCGATATTTTGAAATCTGTAACTAGGGCTTTTCTTCTTGTATTTTGGATATTTTAACTTCTCCTTTTATGAATGGGTTTAAATAGCAGACGATATCTCGCGGTGGTCTTATTTTATTCGCCCCAGACGCAGTAATAAAGTATGGGGAAAAAGGCGCAGTAATACGGAATGGAATAAAAAAAAGGTGACAAGGGAAGCTTCTCTCTTTCAATATCAGAGCCAGGTTTCGATCCTGGGACCTGTGGGTTATGGGCCCACCACGCTTCCGCTGCGCCACTTTGATTATTGATCGAATTATCCTGATTTTTAATAATTGAAGACATGGAAAAGGGCGATAGCGAGCCTCCCGGCTGCTTTGAGCAGTGCAATCTGACTTCTGAATCATATTAACAAATTAATTATCTATTTGTCGGTGATTGAGACGTTCGAAAAACAAAACGAGAATTAAACCAGTTACTTGGACGTTGCTACCCTTTCTGTGAAAAGCATTTTCTTTCGACGGTATAAATTTTGTGATTGACAATAATGCTCTTAATCTCCAGTTGTAAAATTTGGAACAAAAGAAAATCAAAGGAAACTGCTATTGTAATGATCCAAAGAATTGATAATATACAAACTAATTTGACAGGTCTTGCAATAGATTTCAAACTAAAGGACAGAGACTTTAGGAGTAGCCGCCCAAATGGCTGCGGATCTTGCAATAGATTAAATTGATTTCAGGTCTGCTTATTATTTAATTTGTATCTTGACTGTTATGAAATTTGACAGCCGTAGCATTTAGTTTATTTTGACTTAAAATGTGTTAATTTTAAAGTTAAGCTTGATTTTAAAGCAGCTTTGCTTTTGCTTGTCAATAAATTAAAGACAGATATTTTCCCCCCCAAATCCCCACTTCTAACCCGCTTCAAGCAAACAAGAACCAATGCCACCCAATTTATAATTATGAATTAATCTTCTATACACTAATAACAACAGCGTATACATTTTTATTATTGGATTGATGACATATAATGTAAATTTGAATTTAAAATTCAAATTTTATACATATGTCGTGTATCCAACCGTAATAGCATATACATTGTCGGTATACATAAAATTTACTCTATAATTATCGTTCGAAAATATTTTGATTTCCACGCGTCATATAAGTTTCATGGTACAGCACTAAAGTTGTAAGTTTCACGGTACAATACAATAGAGTTGACAAGAGGAAGTTGGAGAACAAGGAAAACTTAAAACGGCAACTGGACTTTGGGGAAGAGGCAATGGGAGGATTCGAACTTCTCCCGGGAATGATATACAGGCAGCATCAAGAGTTTTTAATGGTAAATCGAATTGTTTGCAAATATATTCGTGCCAAGTTGCTCGAGTTTGAAGAAAATTTGATTAAATAATGAACGAATTGAACACGAATATCAATATTATATTTGATTAATAATCGAACCGAACACGAATTTGATTATGAATTATTTGAATAGTTCACGCATATATAATTATAAAGAATAGACAAATGCATTTAATTTTATTAAATATATATTATAAATTTCTCAAAAAGTAATTATAAATAAAAATAGTATTATTTATTTTTTAAAGCAAAAAATACAATAAGCTTATTCTAGATCATGTATTTTTTTTAAAGATATTATTAAATCATTTTCAAACTCACGTTCGGGCTAAAGTTTGAACTGGGATTCGGCTAATTTATTTTAACGAGTCGATCTCGAATTTAAACTCAAATATTCACATAAGTTATTGAGTTGACTTCGAACAATAATATTTGGACCAGTTTATACAGTAAACAAAGCAAACCTGAACAAGAAGTATCCACTATCATTCAGCGTGTTAAAACTTTAGGCAGCAACTAGCAATAATTGTCCTTGCGTTAAATTTAGAGAGAGAGAAGGGAAGTTATGTCTGGTACCGATCAGCTCCGCCTTGGTAGTCTCTAATTTAATGCACCGGACGCCGGATGGTGACTGTCAACGCCAGCAGAATGAGTCTCAAGTCGAACTTTACAGTTTGGCATTGTCCATATAATGGAGTGTGGCCAAAAAAGACAGTGTTCCACATCAAGGCTAAGGTTAGCTACTTTTAGGCCTTGTTTGGATTGCAGTTTTTCATCGAAAAATTACGTTGTTTTCCGTGATCACATTTCCCTATTACCTTTTTCCCTCACATACATCACATCGCTACAGTAATTTTTCCATGAAAAATCATGAAAAATGCAATCCAAACACAATCTTAAGTTTTAACCATGGCTCAGTCGTACCAAGATCTTCTATGATGATTAGTGCAAGCGATGCTTCGCTTCCCGAGTTTCCTTTATCAGCATTTTTGTCCCCATTCTTCCGCCACCGAAAAAATAATGATAATAAAAATAAAATAAAATAAAATAAAATAAAGAGACGCATTTCTTCAAGGATTAATTTTATATACATGATACATGTGTAAAATTTAAATTAAAATTTAAAATTTGCTCATGTGTCATCCATCCAACTATAATAATATATACATTAATAATGTATATAAAATTTAATCTTTCTTCAATTGCATATGATGTTTTGCATGCACGTAACACTGTATCCTTTGCTCCGCACAGGGAGTCGACGCTGGGACAAGTAAGGGAAAATAGGAGCTCAAAAAATTACATCCATTATCATACTCTATAAAAGTTGAAATAATATATTTTATGGCCTAATTGATTACTATATACAATACTCTTTAATAAAAAAAAGTAAATCTTATTTACTAATAGTGTGTACTCTATTATAATTTGATCGTTCATGACGCATGTGTAAAAATTAAATTTTAAACCTAAATTTTAGATAATTGTTCTTCATTCAATACACAATAATGTTAACATAAAAAAGATTAATTCTAAAACAAAACCCCTTTTATGGAATTAGGTGAAGAGGAGAAAGAAAGAGGACATTTCATCACGCGCAGAAATTGGCGTGTGACGAATGACCCTCGTCGCTTGCGTCTCTCTAAATCCTTCTTCATTTTCTGCCTTACCCTTATCAGTTACAGAGAAGCAGCACTAGGCAGAAGATCATTATAAAACCACCATAGACGTATAGTTTACCTAATAAAGTTTACTTCCCCATGTTTGTCTTCCATTGACCACTCCAAAGTCCAACCCCCAATCAATTAGTGATGTGATTACTTTTTAGAACGCAGCTGACAAGGTCGAGCTTTCGTCCCCACCGCCTAGCACCCAGCCACCACCAGCCAGCCGCAATCCCATATTATCACAATTTTCAACGCCGGTAAACTTCTCCTCATATGCACTAAAGAGAATTGCAATTTCGAATCTAAATATTTGGGGGTATAATTGCTTCTAATCTTTAAAGTTTAAACGAAAGCAAGTTCTAAATGTTTTAATTTTTTAAAGCATGTTTAGTCCTAATAACTGATTTTTACTAATTATATATGAAATCAAGGCGCGGGCCGTCAACTATTTTTTTTTTTAAAAAAATTGATAAAGTATTAATAGCCAGAATCTGTAATAAAAGAAAACTAATTATTCACATTCTGATCACGTGAGCAATCAGTTTATAATTCTTTTTTTTTTTTTTTGGTGAAGCGAATTTTTGTAATCTGAGCTAAAGAGGATACACTAATGTGATCATCATGTGAGTAATTAGTCTTTTTTTTTAACTAAAAATTATAGTATATTTTGTAAAAAAAAAAAAAAAAGGAATTACTAGCACATGACCAAATGACAGCAATAATTGGTAAAAATTAATCAATGAGACTATATATTTTAAAAAATTACCAAAACATTTAAAATTATATTTACTTTCGTTCAAATTTTAAGAATTAAACGTGCTCATGCTCTAAACATTTAATACCAAAATTGAAATTGTCCGTGTACAGTATTTATTACTCCTGCTACTTTGGAATACTTGATAAATCTAAATTTGATTTTTTCAAAAAAAAAAAAAAGAAAAAAGAAAGAAACCTATCTAAATTTGATGCTGTATGCGTACGTGATCTCAGTTGCAGCGGTAACTTGGGCGCTCCTTTCGTCTCGAAACGCACGTTGTTTGGTTTTGTCAGCACATGCAAGTTCCACCCTTCTCGCTCCCTCCCACTGAAAACCCACGAATAATTAACTTTTAAAATTTCCCCCATCTTTCTTTCCTATCGCACCCGCAACTCGCAAGCAACTGAGCTAAGTCACCACACTTTCAGGGCCATTCATTGCTCATTTTTGCGTGTGTTTCCGCACTCGCCCAATCATTTTCGCTTCCGCGAGCATTTACTCTTCACGTTCCATCTTTTCCTCTCTCTTCAGTCCCCATCGCTGGGCTGCTGGGCAGCTGGGGTTCTCCCTCATTTCTGCTCTCTGCAATCTCAAAAATTCTGGTCAGTTCATCCCTTTCTTCTTACAGAAGAGAAGAGATTATCATTTTTGTCTTGTTTGATTAGTGTCAATTTGTTGATTGCGTGTTAAGTCAGAAAAGGACGGAAGAATCAACAACCTCTTTATACCCGACTGTTTCACATATGCTTTGTAATTTTTTTCTTGATCAGACGTAATTGTACGACTATCTGTTATTTTTGAGTAGTTGACCAAAACGCTCCCCTGTGTCCATACATTAATGTTAATAAGTAGTGTGTTTTCTTCATGTGTTATTAGTGGTATTAAGCAACGGCTATGATAATTATTTTCGCAGAACTGATTTTCTTTATTGTCTGTAAAAAGTAGGTGCTACACTTAAAATCGGGGCCATATTCCCTGATTTTGCTAGCTTTTGCTTTTCGAATTCCTGTATGCAGTGATGGAGAACGAGTAAAACATTCTTTGCTTGAGCCCTTCAATTTTGAGCTTAGGAGGGAGGAAGGAAGAAAGATGGGCATCAAGTTCATTTTCTTGGCGATTTTCTTGAGTGGGGCTC